ACAAATTATTTATGAATACTCATGTCGTCTTTCCTTCTTCTCTCCTCCTCACTATTTCATCATCACCTTTCTCCGCTCTCTTATTTCCTCTAACCTTTATAATCCCTAATAAGTATCTTTGTTACTAGTTCAATCTTCCGTAATGGACATCGCGAGAAAAAATTACATATTTCGGTCGCAAAGACGCTCGATAACGTTAATGTAGTTTCCCATAAAATTTTCTGAGCTGAGTGGACGGATAGAAAATTGGGCTCTCTTCTACCTGACAGGATTTTCAGAAAATGGAATGCTGTTTTATATGACTGGAAAGTGGGGGGACCTGTCTTCTTTAAGTGGTTTATCAGAAAATAGGGGCTGGAAATAGTTCCAAACCTGTGTGTGTGTGTTGGAGAAGAAAATATAGATTTTTCACTCAATAGATTACCAGAAAGTAAAAATCTGATTTCCTTGATTAATTACCAGATAAAGGGGATATATCTTCCCTGCTAAATTTCCTTAAAATTAAGATAAGTTTTTCAAGTGGATCGACAGAAAATATGAATGCTTTTGTGTGTAGATTACCAGCATATAGATAAGCAGCTTGACTGAATAGATTAACAGATATTTCAAAAAAGTGGATTACAAAAAATTGGAGACTTCTCTAACTTTAAATGATTAATATAAAATTTTGATTTTTCTTTACCTGGATGAATTAACAGGAAAATAAAGATTCCTTTACCCTTAGTGGATTAACAAATAATTGAGATCCGTCTTGCGTAAGTAAATTAACAGGTTCTCAGGATTCCATTTCTCCCCCTAAGTGAACAAGCAGAAAATGAGAATCTTTGTAATTTTCTTTTCCTTTCTTGTTCTTCGAAGCCAAACTTATCTATGATGCGCATTCAAAAGGACATTTCGGAGCCAGAAAAGGAATTTCTGGCTCCGTATGTCCAGGTGAATGCCATTTTATTACCCACTCTATGGTGGGTCAACTGAAGGGGCCCATGACCTTGGTGTGTGTGTGTGTGCGTGTGTGTGTTTTGCCCAAACGCTTCTGTCCTGCCACGGTATTCGAGCCCAGAACCTTTCGACTGCAGCTTACTGTGTTGACTTCTGTTCCCGTTCACTCTCACGTTCGCAGAACACCATTTCACCATTTTGGTATCTTATTGTGTCTGAAGCTAGACCCTCCACATACAAGTCTTCAACAATTTATCAACACAGTCCACTGGGCAGCCACTGTTAAACTGAATTTATCTTGAATGCCGATAGACACAAACACATGCATTTCTTAAAGCAAATATAACTTACGTATAAATTTTATTTTACAATCTGAAAATTCCGTGATATATTTGCCGAATTTAAGATCTTCGGAAAGAAAATGTTTTGTTATTTTTATTATGCAGCGCACACAGTAAATTTTAAGAAAATATAAACCCAACATGTTGTTATAATGGGGTTCTTGCTCTTCAGTAGCGAATATCTCTCGAATTGATGCTCTTTGAATCCTCAGTGTTGTGAGTTTACGGTGTCCTCCCACAGATGGCGCTGGGAGAGCCCTTGAATGAACACTATCTCCGATATCCTTCTGTGAAATCCCGGAGCTCTCGGATACGTGTAGCTAGGAAAAGGTGGCACATTATTGCGAATTATTATTATTATTATTATTATTATTATTATTGCTAGCTGTATTTCGGTGATATTCGTACCAGCATCCTCGGTGTTTCAATAGTTTCTTCCCAGCTATTTTACCAACTCAGGGTGATGTGAAATGCCTTCGCCTAGCGGGTCCCAGCACTCCCCAAGGAAAATATTCTACTGAGCAAGAATTACTAAGCATGACAGGCCTGTGTTACATGGGAGAGAGAGAGAGAGAGAGAGAGAGAGAGAGAGAGAGAGAGAGAGAGAGAGAGAGAGAGAGAGAGAGAGAGAGAGAGAAATAGCTGAAAATAAGCTGATATAGGCCTAAGATTTAAAACATGGTCAGGTTAGGTTAGATTTATGGTTACTATGGTCGAATTTTGTGTATGTCTTGCAGCGTGCCACCAGCACCTTACATCCAACGCTTCAGATCCCATACCTATGGAAGAATGGAATGAATTATCATTGTGATATAATAGCATATAAAGAAATAATCAAATGAATGATGAATTGGAAATAACGAGAGCTTTGCAATAGTTAAATATACAAATAAACAAATGTAGTTTGAATAAATATATTAATGCTAATTAATTAACAGTAAAATAGATTAATGACTTAACAAATAAAATTATAATATTGAGCTGCGTATAAGATTGCTAGCACCACAAACTATGCGCATAAAGCAGAGAGTAAGCCACAATAACGACGCTGAAAATAATTACTATAACTGCGATTGCTTCTTTATACACAGAGTCAGCGTTCGATCCCCGATGGTCCAAACAGTTGGGCATAGTTACATCCCTTCAAGTTCTCATATCCCAACTCCTTGTTCTCATATCTCCTCCAACTGTTATATAGTCACACTGGCTTAGCACTTCCTCCGCCTGACCCCCCTTACCTTCCTATCAACTTGGTTTGGTTGGAACAGCGGTAGCCTTGGTGCTTGCCGGGTAGGCGTTCGATCCCCTATCGTCGATGTTGTTGGGTAAAGCATATTCCAAGTGCTTCATTACGAAACTTTACCGTTTTCTCTTGATAATTACTGTGCCTTATCACTAAAGTAGATAGGGGTAGAATCAATAAAAAAGGGAGGAAGAGCGATTATGTAACTAATGCCCGTTTACGGGCTCACCATAGCCCGTGCTACATGGACACTTCGTTCTGAGTACCTATATCTAAAATAACAACAATACAAAAGTGAAAGAAAGTAAATGACTGAGAGTAGAGAAAGAATTCATGCTGGACGATTAAAGATTAATGGGAAAGAACGGAATTAGTGTAGGGGAAAAAAGTGCAGATAACAAGACAGGAGGGAAAAAAGATAGTGGGAGGGTGTTAAGGGGAAAGGAAGTGATGGTGAGAGGGATAGTGAGAGGGATGGTGAGAGGAAGGACACGCCCTGATGACCGCAGAGCCTCGTTTAATCAGTTCATTTTAAGGTCAGCGATCACAGAGTGAGGGATCAAGAGGATTAACAAGGTAATTACGATTAATGATCCTGGAGTGAGTGGAAAGGAAAGGAAGAGCGAATGAGGGGTAAAAGAAAGGGGGAGAGGAAGAGAGTACGACTGAAATTAAAATCGAAAGGAAGAGATGTAGAGGGCAGCAGAGTATATATATATATATATATATATATATATATATATATATATATATATATATATATATATATATATATATATATATATATATATATATATATGTAAATGAGGAAATGTAAACTATATATTTCGATCCTAATCCAGGTTCCTCTTCAGCAGTGAACGAGAATAATGTTGTTGTTGTTATAGATTCAGCTACTCGGAACAAGTTCCAAGTAGCACGGGCTATGGTGAGCCCGTAAC